GGGGCCCATCCTATTTCTGATCACCCTTTGCTCAACCACATAATAAAATTTGTCATTTCTCAACAGCAACTCCTTATCCCATTGCTTATGTTAGTCATTCCACCTGGAATGCCCTTTCCCACTTTTCTTTGTTTATCTCAATTCCACCCATCCATAAAAGCTTCCCATGCAATACCATCTTTTCCATTCTCCAGTAAGAAATATAATTTCATGTGTATTTGATTTTCTGCTGCCAGAGACTGTCCAGCTTTGAACATTACATCTGCCTTTTACCACAGCTGGGGCTACCTAATCATCCCTTGCAGCCTCAACTCCATCCAAGCTTCTAAGACTTATCTTAGCCTGGTTGAGAAAGAATTTCAGAGTCTGATCTATACTTGTGGAACTCAGGCACTGGTGTTGTAATCCAACATCAGTGTTTGACCCAGCACTGGAAACTAGGTTTTAGCCTTATTCTGGGAAAGTTCATTTCTGTTTAAGGAAATTAGACTTCAGACTTGTTAGTAATTTACAGAGTCTTATTGTCTCTCTCTCCCTATAGGATCACCCCTGCTGTTGTCAGGTTCACTCCACCTAAAATGTCCTAGAGGTTCATGCCTAAATCCCACCGCAGAGCCTGGGACTCTCATTTGTAAATACCTCGCTATGGCTGATGATTGGTTTCCTGGTACTGGCTTCTTGAAGATTGGATCCCTCAACTATAGCTAGCTGTTGCCAGTCCTGTACCTTCACCCTGGGTTGCTTCTCTGGCTTAAAGCAATGTCCCAGAGCCATATTGAGCATTGTGATATATTTTACAGCATCCCACATATTTTTATAACTTAAGGAAATGCAATTAATGTGACATTAAATGGAAATTATGTGAAAGCTTAAATTTTCTCTGAAGAGTTAAAGCAGTGAGCTGTCTGAAGGCATGTATTTCATGCCACAGTTCATGTCAGCAGTTTTTAAAAAGAATACTGTCCTTATTTCACACATTTCTTTCCAAGAGAAAATGTTGAGTACATAAAGAGTTTACAAGAACAAAGCATTTAAAGTTTAATGACTTTTAAATAAATTTTTTATCCCAAAACATTACTAGTCATAAGCACACTTTCAGATTTATATTCTTTTTTTAAAAAATCTGTATTTAACATAGATGAGGCAGGGTATTAGAAAGTTCTACAAATATATTAGGGTTCTGTATTTTTCCATAACCAGAACCCTTGAAAGAGCATGTGTGGGGTTGTGGATTTTGTTTTTTTTTTTTTAAATCTGGTCATATTAAATAAATTAGAAAGGCAAATTAAAGATAATACTGTAATATATTGCTAAGTTACCAATTACATGACCATTATTAAGATACTATAACTGAAAATAGATAATAGATGTGATTTTCTCTCTCCCTTTTTTAGTGCCTCACAAGCAAAATTATTCACAATAAAATAAACTTAATATATGCCATATAATAGTTGGAACCTCTCCTACTCCGGCCAATCCCCAATTATTGCATATACCAAGTACATCCTGTTTTCACACACCTCCCACTAGAGGCAAAAGGAATGTTTTATAGGTAGTAAGCAAAAAGGAGATTTCTCTTCCTCTCCTTTTCTCCCGTCTCCTATTGTTTTATAGTCTGAGTAACCCATGTGATGTAGTCAGTTCCATCTTCACCAGCACAGAGGACCAATGAAGCCCTCAGGGTGATCTGAGCAGCACCCCTTTCCTAGGAAAAGCTTTCTCATTGCCTGCCATGTACTAGATTTCCACCATAAGAGATGGGTTCCTTTAGATAGGGTTACATTTCCAAGAATGACCTATGCTAATTACATTTTCAAAATTTTGTTAGTCAGAGTAGAAGACCTTGAGGTCCCAAAATGTGTGTGAGAGAGAAACTTTACATAGGCAGAGAAACGGAACTGAAGCATTAAGGAAAAGATCTAGCTAATATGCCATTGAGAAGGGGTACAGACAGCCAGAAAGAACATACAGAGACTCAGTAGGACAAAAAAATGTCTTGTCTTCATTCTTTTCCTTTCCTGTTTTTTTTTTCAGTCTGGCTGAGTGTGTTGCCCTTGGGACCATCCCATCACTGCAGCACATTCACACTTTTCTTGGCTATGTAGTAGCAACTCAACTCAATTATCTTGCTTTACTCTTTGTCTTTAAACAAATGTCTAGACAATACAAAGAAAGTCAATTTTACTAATTATGTTACATGGCTTGACATTTTAAATTGTACTTACATAAAAAGAAGTTGGAATTCATAGCTATTTGGGAAAAAAAAAAGTGTGGAGAGGAGGAGAGATCTTTACCAAGCTCACATCAAGATATAACTTGTTTTAAAATTTATAAAAATAGAAAATTACAGTGCATGGCACATATCTTTATATCATCATAATAGCTGATCCTTTTCAGAATATGCTTTCTAAACTTTCATTTGTTTTTAAACACTTTTAGTTTAAAGTATTATCTATTTAAAAATGTAAAAGTCATCCTTGGCTTGTGGGCCATACATAAACAGGCAATGAATCACATGTGGCCTGTGGTCTGTTGTTCGCTGACCTTTGTCTTACATAAATGAATTAACTCGATGCCTGGAACATCATGAGTAGTGGCTTATATGATTACCATTATTCCTTAAGGAACTTACGCTCAGTGGAGCAAATCTTAAAAGCTAATTTAGAGGTTGGATAAATTATGTGTGAAAAAATTATAAAAAGAATTTTTTAAAAATTAGCAATGAAATCTTCTTCCATTCCCCTATTCCCTAAATACTATAAAGAAAAAAAATTTTTTGGAATGAAGACTTTGATGAGGTCTGAGACAGAAACCCCCAACAGCCAGTCTTAAGAAACAATGGATGGCATGCCTTTTAAGGTGGAAAAGAACATCTTACTTTATTTTATTTTTTTCACTTGAGGTTTGCAAGCTGAAAGTCAAAGCCAAATTGCTCAGGGCAATAGAACAAAGCTGAGAGTTGAAGCTAAATTGCTTAGGACAATAAAAGAGATTACAGAGATTATTTGTTTACTGGACAGATCAGTGCAGTTAAGAAGGACCGAAATTTGCTTTAAAATGAGCCTTGCAAAAGAGCAAATATAGTTTAAAGGAAATTAAAAATATATCACACAGAAAAAATTTTCAATTTTCCACAAACTATATTATTTGCTAGCATTTAGTTAAGCTGGGTCTCTTTTAGAATGAGGCTTAGGGAATGTGAGAAGAGTCTGTTTATGGACTTTGGTTAAGCCAAAACCAATCATGGAGGATGGACACCTGTTTGGAATTCATGCAGTTTAGTGAACTGATGGAGAACACAGTTTAAGAGTCAAACAGAGCTGGTTCTAATCTAAAGCTCGGGTTTCTCAAATCAGCAGTATAAGATGGGAAAACTACCTAACTTCTCTCAGTGTTGATAGCTTTGTTTGTAAAATAAATAAAAAGTATTGTTTTGCTCTAGGAAGAAAGGAAATTGTACCTTTAAAGCACTTAGACAAAATACGGCAAGGAATACATGCCCTGGAAAGCCTAATTATTATTTTATGTCTTAATGAAGCCCACTTAAACCATATTACCTGTGGGAACTGCAGATACTGGGCAAGCAGCTCCTCTGGAGGCAAAGGCTAAGGACATGTGGAGGCATCAGAGGTATGAAACCCAACGTGGCATAAGCCACCAGTGACACGCACTCAAGAGCAGACGACAGGAGGCCTGTAGCCCCAGGGTCTGGGGAATAGCTCCAAATAGCCACATGGATGGAATACCAGGCAAGAGGTCCTGCGTTTAGACTTGCCCAATATTCCAGAAGTACCTGTGATGGCCCACAGCACTTGACTATTGATGTTTTGGGCCAGATACTTCTTTGAGGTAGCAGTTGTCTTACATACTAAAGGATATTTAGCAGCATCCCTGGCTTCTACCCAAACATGTTTTCTCATCAACATAGCCCAATGTCCCCTGGGAAGCAAAACATCCCTGCTTGGGAAGCAGTAATATATGAGGACAGTTTTAATTCCCTCTGGTGATCTACAGAAATAATGGCACAAGGTCAAGCGAGTGGACTTTGTGGAAGACAAAAGGTCCTTTAGTAGCCAGTGAGGAGACAAGCTGGTGAAACATGATTTACTTACATAAGGATAAAAACAACAATGGGTATGTACCCATGTTTAGGGCTCCTTACGGATGTGTGATTTCTGTTCTCAGACATAAAATAGAATAGAATATTTTGAAGTACACACTGGTAGGTGTTAGCTTCTGAATCTAAGAAGTCTAGAGGTCACCCAGAGCCATCTTTGGCTCGTAGCACCTTTACACTTCATGTTCCTTCGCTTGAAACTTCCTCCCTGAGGGCCAGTACCCCTACAGCTACCTACAGCTCACTCACCTCATTCCTCTTTCCTTGACCAATTTTCCTGAATCTTTCCTTTCTCAGAACCTATTAGTTCTGGGTCTCCTTCCCTGAAGCTCTAGACTGACTGGATATCACTTCCCTGGGCCCCAGCCTGCTTAGTGGTCTATTGCTTCTTTTGGACTAACATTTCCTGAGGACAAAAGCAATATCTTATTCTCTCATGTATTCCTAGGATCTAACATGGTGTCTGGCACGTAGTTGGCAATCACAGGGTATTTGTTGAATAAATCGGTAGTTGCTTTGCAGGAAATAAGCACATCTGGGGTGATCATATTTATATTTTGTTTAAATCTCTATATCTCAACTCAAAAACAAAAAGTCAAATTCCACATGTTCTCAGTTATGCTTGGGGACTAAGTCATATGTACACATGGATACAGGGTGTGTAAAAATGGACATTGGAGACTTGGAATTGTGTGTGTGTTGAGGGGTGAAGGATGAGAAAGGGGGGTGAAGGATGAGAAATTACAACACACACTCCTTGGATGATGGTTACACTAAAAGTCCAGACTTCATTACTGTGCAATATACTCATGAATCAAAACGGCATTTGTACCCTCTAAATGTATACCAAAAAACTCTCTATTTCAGCTGCTACTTAGGAATGAGTACCATTTTATGAATAAAGCACCATTGAAGTCATTGCTATTCCTTGAAGCCAAAAAAGGTTATATTAGATTTAGAGGTAACCTGGTTAGTGCTAAAGTGCTTCATTCAAGTAATGAAACTAAAACCCACTGTATAATGTGAAAGCTGAAGAGGCCTTACTCCACTTTGAGTAGGAGATTTTTCTGTTCTGTAATTTTCAAAGCCTGCATTTAGAAAGTTTTTTCTCATTTAATTCCATGTTACTTATTGTTCTGCTCTGTGGATTTTTTCATTAGAGGTCTATTTGTGCCTGGTTTGCCCTGCGGGAAAGGATGATACAGAACTCTCATCTGTCTCTGTTACTATGTATTATTACTTGGGCAACATCAAGGCAAATGCCATATAAATAAATAAAACACTCTTGAAGCTTCAGTTCTCACTGCTAGGCAGCAAAAAGAGCAAATGTTTAAGTTTTAAGAGATAGACTTAATGAAAAGCTGACATTTTCCCATAGTATGAGAGAAAAAGGATATTTTTCTCAAGCATTTATAATTTGGCATTGAGGATTGATAAAATATTATTGAGTCTGGCTTTGTCGTCTGTAACAATGGTTATTTGGTTTTATCACAGCCTGGAAGTTTTAGTTCTAGGGCTTAGTGTATATACCCAGCTATTGCATAATAAAATTAATCTGTTGAAAGGAACAGAATATTTTATTAGGTGAGGATGAGCAAAAGAGATTCATTTTTCATTGCTCTGAAGGCTCATTTCTGGTTAATCTCTTTTTGGTTTCCCCAGTCATATGGAGTGTCAGTAAAACCCAGTCAGAATTACTGTCTTCTGAACTCCATGCGAGAAAATTCCATTACTCCCAGACTCTGTTGGATCTTCCACCAGGTACTCTTCTTGGGGTAGGGTGTGGGAAGTTTCAATTGATGTATATCTTCTGTGCAGCAGATAGCTAACATGTAAATGTAGAGATTGTCAGCACAAAGAGGATAGTGCAATTATTTTAATACAAGTAGAGTAAATCTTCTCTATTTTTTTTCCCAAAAGTAAAAGAATGCTTCCAGTATTCTTTCTGTGAATACTTTCACTTCTTTCCTGGAAGGGTTGATAAATTGAGTGTTCTAGTAAAATAAACATCCTTGATAAGAGAGATTCACTACATTCTCCCTAATGTGATACGCAGACTGTCATAGCACTTGCCACATATGGATTGCAAATTTTCACATAATTAAAGTCCTAGAGCTCTAAGGACCCTATTGCAGTCAGGTACTATGTGATAGCTGTTTGCCAAAGATGGCCTCTAGTATCCATGCCTTCGCATTGTCCCTCTCATTTTGAAGCTGAGCTGATCCTGTGACTTGCTGTTGCAAGAGAAGGTGGTAGAAGTGATGATATATTTGAATTTCTGAGAGCCAGAGTTTCCACATAAGAAGTTCTGTTGCCCTGAAGGAGAGACCACATGGAGAGACAACATGAAAATACTCTATAGAGAGGTCATATGAAGAGGGGACACCCTGAGGCTACAGGGAGAGAGAAGGAAGCCCAGTTTTCCTAGGATCCCAGCTGATCCCAGCTATCCCTGCTAAGGTGCTAGCTACATGAGTGTATCCATCTTGGACATTCCATCTTGGATATTGAATATGGAGCTCCCATCTGACTGCAGTTGTGTAAGGATTTATGAGCAAGACCAGCAGAAGATGATACAGCCGAGACACAGTCAACCCACAGAATCATCGAAAATAACAGAATAATTGTTGGTTTAGCCACAGTTTTGTGGATAATTTGTTATGCACTCATAGATAACAAAGGTAGGCACCCTAAAATACGAATAATTTAGTCTAACCTTCTTATATTGTAGGTGAGGAAACTGAAGACCAGATCAATGAACTCATTTGACCAATGTTACAAAGTAATTTAGAAAAAAGTGCTGGAATTTGAACTCCCATATCTGGAGTTTTAATTACATTGTCTGTTAACCTTACTATGCTGCTTAACATATAACTGTGGCCCAGCAATTCCACTTTTTTGAGAATATATCATTAGGAAATAATGAGAACAAATTGTGTCTCAATGTGTTCACCACAGTATGATTTATAACAAACAATTGGAAACAAACTGTAAGTAAAAATATAGAGGAACAGTGCATTAGTTCGTTTTCAAGCTGCAGATAAAGAAAGACTGGGCAATTTACAAAAGAAAGAGGTTTAATTGGACTTACAAAGAAGCCTCACAATCATGGTGCAAGGCAAGAAGGAGCAAGTCCCATCTTACATAGTTGGCAGCAAGCAAAGAGAGAAGGAGGAAGATGCAAAAGCAGAGATTCCTGATAAAACCATCAGATTTCCTGAGACTTATTCACTGCCATGAAAACAGTATGGGGGAATCACCCCCGTGATTCAATTATCTCCCCCAGGGTCCCTCCCACAACTTGTGGAAATTATGAGAGTACAGTTGCAGATAAGATTTGGGTGGGTACACAGAGCCAACCCATATCAAACAGTAAAGGGATTTCTTGTCTTTACACTTAAAGAATAACATAGCCATTAAAATAATGCTTACAAATATCATGAAAAACACATGCCATTATGGTAAGTGAAATAAGTGTAACACTTGAAAGCAGGATACGGAATGCTTTATGTAAGACCCCCAAGTTATTTTTTTTCTTCTTCTTCTAAAGACTTGGTAGAAAAAGCAGATTGAAAAGATATCAAAAAACATTAACCATAATTATTGTCAAGTAGTGATATTAAACAATGCATTTTTCTTTTTCCCATTTTTTCATGTTATTTCCATATTTTGATATTAGACACATATTTTACACTGAAAAAATGTGTAAAGAAAAGTCAGACTATGCTGACTTTAAGGCCTTTATTATTATTATTTTTATTTCCATAGGTTTTTGGGGAACAGGTGTTATTTGGTTACATGAGTACGTTCTTTAGTGATGATTTGTGAGATTTTGGTGCATTGATCACCCAAGTAGTATACAGTATACACTGAACCCGATTTGTAGTCTTTTATCCCTCACCTCCCTCCCACTTCCAGTACTATGTTGAACAGACATGATGAGAGTGAGCACCCGTAAGTCCCCAAAGTCCATTGTATCATTCTCACACCTTTACATCTTCATAAAGTAGCTTCTACTCATGAGTGAGAACACACACACACACATATATATATATACACACACAGTGAAATTGTATATATACACATTTAATTCCATAAAATTGTGGAATATATATATATAGGAATATATATATATGGAATATATATATATATTCCACAATTTTTTTATCCACTCATTGATTGATGGGCATTTGGGCTGGTTTCATATTTTTGCAATTTCAAATTTTGCTGCTATAATCGTGGGTGCAAGTATCTTTTTCGTATAATGACTTCTTTTCCTACAGGTAGAAACCCAGCAGTGGGATTGCTGAATCAAATGGTAGTTCCATTTTTAGATCTTTAAGGAATCTCCACACTGTGTTGCATAGCGGTTGTACTAGTTCTAGTTTACATTCCCATCAGTGGTGTAGAAGTGTTTCCTTTTCATCGCATCCACACCAGCATTTATTATTTTTTGATTGTTTGATTATGGCCATTATTGCAGGAGTAAGGTGGTGGTGTCACATTGTGGTTTTGATTTGCATTTCCCTGAACATTAGTGATGTTGAGCATTTTTTCATATGTTTGAAGACCATTTGTATATCTTCTTTTGAGAATTGTCTATTCATGCCCTTAGCCCACTTTTTGATGGGATTGTTTTTTTCTTGTTAATTTATTTGACTTCCTTGTAGATATTAGTCCTTTGTCAGATGCATAGATGATGAAGACTTTCTCCCACTCTGTGGGTTGTCTTTTACTCTAATGACTGACTTTTCCTTCTCTTGTGCAGAAGCTCTTTAGTTTAATTTAGTTTAATTAAGTCCCACCTGTTTATCTTTGTTTTTGTTGCATTTGCTTTTGGGTTCTTGCTCATGAAGTCTTTGCCTAAGCCAAATGTCTAGAAGGGTTTTTCCAATGTTATCTTCTAGAACTTTTATAGTTTCGTGTCTTAGATTTAAGTTCTTGATCCATCTTGGTTGATTTCTGTATAAGGTGAGAGATGAGGATCCAGTTTTATTTTCCTGCATGTGGCTTGCCAATTATCCCAGCATTGTTTGTTGAGTAGGGGATCCTTTCCCCACTTTTATGTTTTTGTTTGCTTTGTTGAAGATCAGTTCACTGTACACATTTGAGTTTATTTATGGGTTCGCTGTTATATTCCATTGGTCTATGTGCCAATTTTTATATCAGTACTATGCTGTTTTGGTGACTATGGTCTTACAGTATAGTTTGAAGCCAGTTAATGTGATGCCTCCAGATTTGTTCTTTTTGCTTAGTCTTACTTTGGCTATGCAGGCTCTTTCTCGGTCCCATATACGTTTTAGAATTGTTTTTTTTTAGTTCTGTGAAGAATGATGGTGACATTTTGATGTGAATTGCATTGAATTTGTAGATTCCTTTTGGCAGTATGGTCATTTTCACAGTATCGATTCTACCCATCCGTGAGCATGGAATGTTTTTCTATTTGTTTGTGTTGTCTATGATTTCTTTCAGCAGTGTTTTGTAGTTTTCCTTCTAGAGGTCTTTCACCTCCTTGGTTAGGTATATTCCTAAGTATTTTATTTTATTTTTTGCAGCTATTGTAAAAGGAATTGAATTCGTGATTTGATTCACAGCTTGGTTTGTGTTGGTGTATAGCAGACCTACTGATTTGTATACATTTATCTTGCATCCTGAAATTTTGTTGAATTCATTTATCAGTTCTAGGAGCTTTTTGGATGAGTCTTTAGGGTTTTCTAGGTATACAAACATATCCTATGCAAACAGTGGGTTTGACATCCTCTTTAATGATTTGGATGCCCTTTATTTCTTTCTCTTGCCTGATGGCTCTGACAAGGACTTCCAGTACTATGTTGAACAGACATGGTGAGAGTGAGCATCCTTGTTTTGTTCCAATTCTGAAAGGGAATGCTTTTCCCTTTTCCCTTTTCAGTGTTATGCTGGCTGTGGGTTTGTTACAGATGACTTTTACTACATTGAGGTATGTTCCTTGTATATCAGTTTTGCTGAGGGTTTTAATCATAAAACAATGCTAGATTTTATTCTGCATCTGTTGAGATGATCATGTGATTTTTGTTTTTAATTCTTTTTATGTGGTGTATCACATTTATTGACTTGTGTATGTTAAACCATCCTTGCATCCCTGGTATGAAACTCACTTGATTATGGTGGATTATCTTTTCGATATGCCATTGGATTCTGTTAGCTAGTATTTTGCCAAGGAGTTTTGCATCTATGTTCACAAGGGATATTGGTCTGCAGTTTTCTTTTTTTTCTTTTCTTTTTTTTTTTTGTTATGTCCTTTCCCAGTTTTGATATTAAGGTTATACTGGCTTCATATAATGATTTAGGGAAGATACCCTCTTTCTCTATCTTGTGGAATAGTGTCAATAGGATTGGTACCTATCCTTCTTTGAATGTCTGATAGAATTCAGCTATGAATCCATCTGGTCCTGGACATTTTATTGTTGGTAATTTTCTTTTTTCTTTATTTTTTATTTTACTTATTTATTTATTTATTTATTTTGAGATGGACTCTTGCTCTGTCACCCAAACTAGAGTGCAGTGGTGCGATCTTGGCTCACTGCAACCTCTGCCTCCTGGGTTCAAGAGATTTTCCTGCCTCAGCCTCCCAAGTTGCTGGGATTGCAGGCACCTGCCACTGCACCTGGCTAATTTTTGTACTTTTAGTAGAGACGGGGTTTCACCATCTAGGTTAGGCTGCTCTTGAACTCCTGACCTCTTAATCCACCTACCTTGGCCTCCCAAAGTGCAGGGATTAC